AGCCCGATGCGGGGCTTGAACTCACGAACCGCGAGATCGTGACCGGAGCTGCGGAAATCGGATGCTTAACCAGCTGTGCCACCCAGGTGTCCCACGTATGTGCTTTTATAAAACACCTCCGGGGGCAGCAGCTGAACTTGACTGGGGGGTGGAGCAGGTGCTGGGAGACAGCGGGCTGCTTAACAGGTCAGCAGCAACACGGACGGGCTGGCCCCGAGTGACGGCAGGAGTGACGGGCACTGGCAACGGTCTGAGGGCTCCATCACCCGGACGCAGGCACACAAGCTCCGGCATCACTCCTGTTACAACGACAGCGAGGCGGACGTGATGCCACTTACTGAATTCGGCCGGCCGAAACCAGGGGGAGGCGGTGCAGGAGGCTAGAAGAGAGGCCGCGGGCGAAGTGGTCGGCAGAGATGGCCAGCGGCAGCTGCGTACTCAGGAGAGATGTGGGTGAGGTGTCTGTTTGGGCATCATCAGTTATGAAGCACTGTGGTCACGAAACACGTGGGATTAAATTTTTATTTTTTAATTTTTAAAAAAGATTTTATTTTGAGAGAGACAGAGACTCTCAAGTAGGCTTCACGCTCAGAGCGGAGCGTTGAGCCCGACGCGGGGCTTGATCTCACAACCCTGAGATCGTGACCTGAGCCGCAATCAAGAGGTGGACACTTAACCAACTGAGTCACCAGGCGCCCCTAAATACATGGCATTAAAACACGGGGCAACAGGCCCCGGGGTAAATAAAGTGATGGCAGAGAGCAAGGCGGCGGACAAGAAGGCGGGTAGGCACAGGGCAGGGTGGCCGGGAGCAAGTTCGACATCCCACACTCTGGAAACAAGAGTCGGGACCATCAAGGAGAGAAAAGCAACGGCCAGACGTGCGTGAGGTGGCCACGAGGGGGCTGTGCAGTACACGGGAGCAGAGACCATCTTTGTGGACTGTTACTAAGAGTTGAAGGGAGGAAGGGGCCTGACAGGTGTCCCCCGGAGTCTGCACCAGGCAGCCCCTGGAAATGGCCTCAGTGGCTCAGGCGGAACGTGCCGGAGGTGGGAACACGTAGAGGGTTTCCGAGTAAAAGAGGATTCCGGGCTGGTTACGCACCCTGGCTCAGAGCACAGGACCGTATTTGAAACCTGGTTCTCCACCTTCCCACATACGTCCCGGAGACGGTGACTTAACCTCTTTCTTGATTTCTTCCTCTATAAAATAGGGATGACAAAAATATTTACGTCTCGAGGCTATTGTGAGGATTAGATAAATGTGAACACTTACAACAGTGCTCAGTGCACTTCATGCACGCTGGTTAGGAGAACCTCCAATACCGGATATAAACAATCTTTCCATTTCTTTCAAGTCAACTCCAAATGCTCTGTCAGGCTTCCCACTTTAAAATCCGCAGAGGGGCGCCTGGGTGGCTCAGTTGGTCAAATAAACGTCTGACTCTTGATTTCAGCTCAGGTCATGAGTTCAGCTCACAGTCTGTGAGTTCGAGCCCCACGCAGCACTCTCTCTCTGTCTCTCAAAATAAATAAGTAGACTTAAAAAGCCTCAGGGATCCCAGTATAACATCTTTCAGGGACTTTGCAGCCCACGCAGAGCTGCAGGATGGGACCATCCTGGGCACTGTGCCACCATCCGAATCATGGGTCTGGACCGTGGCCCCTGACTGGTGGGGTCGCAGCTGAGGGCCTTCACGGAGCAAAGTTGGTCTTGAGAGGGAAGGTCATGGAGACCAATCCTTCATAGAGAGGACCGGACTGCTGTCTCACCTCCCGAGGACTTTCTGGAAGTTGCTCGTGAGGCCTAGCCAACAGATCCCGGTTTCAAATACCTCGAGTCTCCCCTCTTTATCTCAGGTAGTCAGGATCTTTCCATTTCAGGTAATGACACCTCCCCAGGCCACAAGACAACCGTTCTATCTCATCAAATCTAAGATACCATCAAATGTGAAGCTATAACCTAACTTTAGAGACATTAAAATGTATACCTAAAACCTATTAAATATGGCAAGCTTTTAAATATGGGTCAGCTAGATGGGGCGCCTGGGTGGCACAGTCGGTTAAGCGGCCGACTTCAGCCAGGTCACGATCTTGCGGTCCGTGAGTTCGAGCCCCGCGTCAGGCTCTGGGCTGATGGCTCAGAGCCTGGAGCCTGTTTCCGATTCTGTGTCTCCCTCTCTCGCTGCCCCTCCCCCGTTCATGCTCTGTCTCTCTCTGTCCCAAAAATAAATAAATAAACGTTGAAAAAAAAAATTAAAAAAAAAAAAAATAAATATGGGTCAGCTAGAGATGAAAACAAATTTTTTTAAGTTTATTTTGAGAGCAAGTGGGCATTTGTGTGAGCCCATGTGGCTGGGGGGGGGGTGGGCAGAGAGAAGGGGGAGAGAGAGAATCCCAAGCAGGCTCCACACTGTCAGCACAGAGCCGGACTCAGGGCTCAAACTCAACCAGCTGTGAGATCACGACCTGGGCCGAGATGAAGAGTTGGACACTCAACCGACTGAGCCAGCCAGGCGCCCCGAGGAAAAAAAAAATTACTTGTAAATATTTCATAAAATTGTAACTACTTTTATAATTAAGAGAGAATCTGTTGTCTGAGATGAGTATGCAAACGGTAGGGAAGGCCAGAGTTTGGATGATAGATGATCGGAGCCTTCCAATAATCTAGAACAATCTAATCATCCTGGAGAGGTACCCAAAGGTGGGGGGTGGGGTGGGCAGAGACTACAAACCTATCACTGTAGCGTCTCTACCACTAGAGGGCAGCACTGTTCACATGAAAGCCAATGTCCCACCAAGTGGACTGGGCTGAGCCTCACTGGGCAGCGGCTCTGAGGCCAGTGATAAGAGGGTACTCTGACGGGTCCCGGCAAAAACATAGAGAGACAATTCTCCCTGAAGTCAGAGCAGTGTTTCTCAAACTTTTCACTGTCCAATCCACCTCTGAAACTTTTTATATATTCCCCCCCCACCCCCCAACTGTCCTATGCCTGTGAAACTATGATCTGGCAGAAATCCTGGATATCCGTTCACGTAACACGGCCCTTTGGAGAGCCACGAGCCACTGTAATATCTAAGATTTTTTGTGTCCTGACAACAACCAATCTTTGCTCGCTTTGCTCCCCCAGTTGAAAAGGAACGCGTTTGAGCGAGCACCAATTTTTGGTTCTGTTGTTTATAGAGTGGTTGCTGCTTGCTTTAGGCTGTATTTTTGAATCAGAAGGAAAAGCTCAAGTTCACCAGGTGCAGGTCCTGTTTTACGCAGAAAACTCCCGGTGACAACAACAGCAAAACAAGCGGTGGGGACCCAAGCGACTGTGGATTATGAGGATACGGCTACTTTACTACCAAACGAGGCCTAACATTCTGACCTGACAAGTTATGCTTTGCCTCCTTAAAAAAAAAAAAAAAAAAAAAGTGGCCCCTGTTTCTTCCCTATTTTTGATCAGCGTAGACAAGGTTGACCAGTCTCGCCGGCAAAGTAAGCTGGAGGTGAGTTCTAGAAAGCTAATAGTTTGGAGGAGGCCGTGAGGGTGAAGAAGGCCAGGGAGGACCCCAGAGGTGGTCTGGGATCAGGGAGGAGGCAGATGGCGAGGGAAGAAGCAGGCTGGAGAGCCAGCTAAGTGAGAGGAGAGCGCCACGGTGAGTTACCAAGACCCTGAAATAACTGAAGAGTCTGTGACAGCTGAAGGGACAAGAGGGAAGCCGGGAGAGAACACGGATACTTCCAAGGGGCTGTCCAATTCTCGAAGCATGCCCAAAGTACAGACTGACTGATTGTGACTGAGCTGCTGGTACTTATCTACAGCATCCCTGTGCTGTGTTTACGTCCCTACTCAGTACTTGTGCTTGGTCCTGCCATAAAATACGTTCCAGACAGTTCATCCGGATAAAAGAAAAACATTAACGTGACTGACCTCTGAATAAAAAAAATGAAAAGCAGACGCATAAAGCGACTGCTATGGGTGAGGCAGTGTTCTCCCCACTCTGCATACACAGAACCACCAGGTCCCCTCAACGCTCCCGCGGAGTAACACTCACGGAGGCGCCGCATGAAGATTCCGGACACTGCTGAACCCCTACTGTGTGCCGGCCACATCAGGCACGGGGAATAGCAAGACGAACTGTGAAAAGAGGCGCAGAAGGGATCTGGGGGACGGCCTCGAAGAGGGGGCGAGATCTGGGTAGAACCACGAGGCATGAGTAACACGGACAGGGCGGAGACAGGGAGGAAGAGAAGGTCTTGCGGTCAAGGTAACGGAACACTCTAAGGCACAGAGACCGTGAGAGGTACGCAGAAATCAAGAGGCGTGCGCAGCGCAGGGTCTGGCCAACTACACCTGGGAGCCAAATCCGGCCCGTGTTTACAAATGAAGGCTTACCAGAGCACGGCCTGTTGGGCTGAGTTTGGGCTTCGGCTGCCTTCCGCCTCGCTGCCGCACGGGCGGGCGGAGGAGTCGTGACCGAGCCCGAGCCACGGACCATCTGGCCCTTTGCAGAAGTGTGCCGATGTCTGTTCTGGAGCCTTGCTACTCACAGAGGGGTCTAGGAAGCAGCCGCCGCCGCCCCTGCGGGCCTGGCAGAAACGCAGACCCCCAGGTCCCAGCCCAGAGCCCCAGAATCAGAACCTGCCCCTTAAAAAGACGTCTGGCGATCTCTGGCACAGACAGCCCTCCGATCACTGGCGTGTACGGCTGGGAGGTGGCAGCGAGGTTGCAAATGAAGAGAAGCACCCACTTATCCTATATATAGACGGCAGACAGAGGTAAAGAGCTTCCCGCAAAGGAGGAATCCGATGGTAAGGAGCGCTGGCGTCAGAATCCAGGCAAAAGATGACCCGGACCCCCTGACCAGGTCGCGGTACGGCTTCTCCTTCCTTCCCAGAAGCAAACGACATTTGAAGAGACTACTCCGACTTCGCCAGCGCCCCCAAATTACTTCTGACAAATACAGTATTGGTTGTAACTTATCAGGAAACAGAAAAACACTCGGTAACGAAAATATTCGGCATCACGTGTTTCTGTGCCTGCCAGACGTATCTCCGTTTAAGCAACGCATCCGGAGAGCAAGGCAGAAACGACGACAGTCATGGTTAAGGAGTCTGAGTTTTTTTTAACTTTATTTGAGAGACTGAGAGCGCGTGAGAACCGTGTGCGCCTGTGTGCGTGCAAGCACGCGTGTGCGAGTGGGGGAGGGGCAGAGAGAGAGAGAGAGAGACAGACAGACAGACAGAGAGAGAATCCCAAGCACGGACAGTGCAGAGCCCAACGCGAGGCTCAAACTCAAGAACCGTGAGATCACGACCCGAGCTGAAATCGAGAGCTGGATGGACGCTTCACCGACGGAGCCACCCGCGGGCCCCAAGAAAGAAGTTTACAGATCAA